CCACGCGGCGCCCCTCGGTCTTAGCTTCGACGTCGAACACTTGTAGCACTTATCGACCGTCGCTACGTTCCACTTCTTCACGTGGCTCATGGCCACCAGCGCCCGGACCGCCGATTGGTCGCCCTTGCGGTTCGTACTGGGGTCGCGCATTAGCGAACCCCCTGCTCCCCGCCTGGCCTGCTGCGCTGCGACGGATCCCAACAGCTCCTGCATGACGAAGTCCCCATAGACATCCGAAGGGCGCCTCAAAGTGCAGCGCCAGCAGGCGCCGCCCCCATGCTCCGACCTTGCCTGGACAGTAGGAAAATGCCCCTGATGATATCCTCGGGGTCGACGCGATCGCGCCCGCGCGGCAACTCCGCTGCGCCGCGCGCCATAGCGCTGAGCCAGCGCATCGCATCACGCTGCTGATCTTGTAGAGTTCCCCTGTCCGCCAGCAGCAAACTCGTGAACGTCGCTGTCAGGTTCGGGTCCACATCCTAGACGGCTCGAGCGCCCACGGGATATGGGGCGCGCGCCGCGACGCGGGCGGGGGCATTGTCTTCGCGCGCGTCCTTGGCCCCGCTCGGCTCCACGAGAAAGCGGCCCTGGGGCCTCTTGAACGAGCGGCCGCGCATGCACTGGCAGATAGCGAAATTCCACGACCGCGGCCCCGGCTGCCCGATAGCGAAATTCCACGACCGCGGCCCCAGCTGCCCATGCGCGACGAGCTGCCTGAGGGCGCGCGCGCGCCCCAGCTTCGCCTGGACACCCCGCCCTCGCCCTCCTCGCCCTCCGAAGCTGGCCTGCAGAATTTGCCGGAGCGCGCGGGCCGTCGCGGGCGCCTCTTGGGCCGTCTTGGGGCCCTCTTGGGCCGTTTTGGGAGCCTCCTGAAAGCCTCTTGGGCCGTCTTGGGGCTGACTTGGGGGCCTCTAGGGCCGTCGTCAACGCCGTGAAAGCCGAAAAGCCGCATATGCTAAAAATGCACGTTTCTCCCAGGAAAATCAACGGTCTGGGGCCATCTTGGGACGCCTCTTGGGCGCCTCTTGGGGCTTCTTGGGGGGCTCTTGGAGCCTCCTGGGAACGTCCTGGGGCGAAAGACTAAATTTTTCGGTTCGTGGTCCCCCTCTTGGGGCCGTTTTGGGGTCTTCCTGGGCCGTCTTCGGCGCCTCTCGGGCCGTCTTGGGGCCCTCTTGAGCCATTTGGGGGGCCTCTTGGGAACCTCTTGGGCCGTTTTAGGGCGGTTTGGGGGGCCCCTTGGGCCGTCGTCAACGCCGTGAAAGCCGAAAAGCCGCATATGCTAAAAATGCACGTTTCCCCAAGAAAAATCAATGATTTTGGCCTCTTGGGGGACGCCTCTTGAGCGCCTCTTGGGGCGTCTTGGGGGCCTCTTGGGACGTTTTGGGGCTGTCTTGGGCGGTCTTTGGCTCTTGTGGGACGGAAAAAAGGAAAACCCGAAAAACATGCAAAAACCCGATGGAAAACCAGAAAACGGCCATTTGACTTTGCATCCGGGCCTCGCCCCTCCCCTGGACCCCTCCCTTGAGGGCTTCGCCCCAACTGAACGTCATCACTCGGACCTCGCTCTTTCCCGTCCCGCCGGCCACCCAGAAAAAAACCCAACTCGGAAAAAAAATCCTCCAAGACAGCTCAACATGGCCTCCAAGACGGCCCAAGACGCCTCCAAGACGCCCAAGATGACCTCCAAGACGGCCCCGAAGCGCCTCAAGAGGGCCCCAAGCCGTTTCAGAGAGGCCCCCAAGACGGCTCCCGACGGCGTCAGACGGGCCAGAAACCTAAGACTGCCAAAAAGACCCCCGAGAAGCCCCAAAAGGCCCCAAGAGACCCTCAAGAGGCTCCAAGAGGTCCTCCAGAAAGGCCCGAAGAGGTCAGAATCATTGATCTCCCTTAGGCTTTTGAAAGATTTTGGGGTTTGCGCCTTCTCGGCATTCCGACGGCCCCAGACGGCCCAGGAGGCCCCCAAGGTCGCCCCAAGATCGCCCTAGAGGCCTCCAAGATGGCCCCATGACGGCCCAAGAGGCCCCCAAGACGGCCCCAAGAGGGCCCCAAGACGGCCCAAGAGGCATCTAAGACGCCCAAGATGGTCTCCAAGACGGCCCTGAAGCGCCCCAAGAAGGCCCCAAGACGGCCCAGCGAGGCCCCCAAGACGGCTTCCGACGGCATCAGACGGGCCAGGAAGGCCCTAAGACGGCCAAAGAGGCCCCCAAGAAGCCCCCAAAGGCCACCAGGAGGCGGAGTCCCCCAAGATGCCTCCAAGAGGCCCCCAGGAAGCTCCCAGGAGGCCCCAAGAGTGCCCCAAGAGGCCCCCCAGAGGCCTCCTCCTCCTCCTCCTCCTCCTCCTCCTCCTCCTCCTCCTCCTCCTCCTCCTCCTCCTCCTCCTCCTCCTCCTCCTCCTCCTCCTCTCCTCCTCCCCCCCAACGAGGCTTCCACGAGGCACCCTCCTCCTCCGTTTTCTCCCTCTTCTCCTTTCGCCTGTTTCTCCTCCTCCTCCTCCTCCTCCTTTCCTCCTCCTCCTCCTCCTTCTCCTCCTCCTCCTCCTCCTCCTCCTCCTCCTCCCTCCTCCTCCTCCTCCCTCCTCCTCCTCCTCTCCTCCTCTCCTCCTCTTCTCTCCTCCTCCTCCTCCTTCTGCTCGTCCTCCTCCTCCTCCTCCTCCCTCCTCCTCCTCCTCCTCCTGATCTTCCCTGCCATCCTCCCCCAAGTGTTCCCCGAAGGGTTTCCACAACGGTTGGGGGAACACATGGTCCGATAGCTTGGCAGAGCTATTGCCACAACGCTCGGACACATGGGCGCTTCTAAACCTTTTGCTCTCCACGCGTTCCCCGAAGGCTCTCCAAACGGACTCGGGGAACAACTGGCCCGCTAGCTTGGCCAAGCCGGCCCGTCCCGCCGGACACCCGAAAAACTCTTCCAGGGGTGGTTGCACAGGTTCTTCCTGCTCCAGACGGCTCCAAGATGGCCTCCAAGATGGCCAAGATGGCCCAAGATGGCCTCCAAGTTCGCCCAAGATGGTCCAAGATGGCCTCCAAGACGGTCCAAGAGAGTCCAAGATGCCTCCAAGTTTGCACAAGAAACCTCTAAGACAGACCAAGACGGCCCCGAAGGCCTCCAAGAGCCCTCCAAGACGGCCCAAGAGGCCTCCAAGAGGTCCTCCACGAGGGCCCGAAGAGGCCTAAGGCTTTGGAAGGATTTTGGCTTTTGCTATTTTCCAGCCGTCCGACGGCCCACGACGGCTCAAGAGGGCCGAAAGATCGGCCCCAGAGCGCCCAAGAGGCCTCCAAGATGGCCCTATGACGGCCCAAGAGACCTCCAAGACGATCCCAAGAGGGCCAAGACGGCCCAAGAGGCCTCCAAGAAGCCCAAGATGGCCTGCAAGACGGGCAAGATAACCTCATAGATGCCTCCAAGACAGCCAAGACTGCCGCTAAGACGGCCAAGATGGCCCAAGATGGGCCCGAGAGGCTTCCCAGATGGCCCCAGAGGAATCCAAGAGGTTCTCCAGGAAGGCCCGAGGGAGCCAGAATCATTGATGTTGCTGAGGTTTTTGAAGGATTTGGGCTTTTCCTCCGTTTGGGTGTCCCGACCGCCCAAGACGGCCCGGAGGCCTCCAGAATGGCTCCAGAACGGTCCAAGAGGCCCCCAAGCCAGCCCTAAGAGGGTCCCAAGACGGCCCAAGAGGCCTCCAAGACCCACAAGATAGCCTCCACGATGCCTCAAGACGGCCAAGATGACCTCCAAGACGGCCGAGATGGCCTCCAAGACGGCAGAATTCTCCCCAAGAGAGCCGAAGGTGGCCTAAGAGGCGCCCAAGATGCCTCCAAGACAACCCAAGATCTCCAAGAGGTCCTCTAGAAAGGCCCGAAGAGGCCCAAATCATTGATTTTACTTCGGTTTTGAAGAATTTAGGCATCTTCTTCTTCTCAGCTCTCCGACGGCCCAAGAAGGGCCAAGAGGCCCCCGACATCGCCCCAACATCGCCCCAAGAGCGCCCAAGAGGCCTCGAAGATGGCCCCATGACAGGCCAAGAGGCCACCAAGAGGGCCCCAACAAGACCCCAAGACGGCCCAAGAGGCCCCCAAGTCGCCTAAGATGGCCTCCAAGACGGCCAAGATGGCCTCCAAGATGCATCCAAGGCGGCCAAGAAGGCCTCCAATACGGCGAAGGTGGCCCCAAGATGCACCCAAGACGGCCCCAGATGGTCTGAAGATTACCTTACACTGCCCAAAAGGCCCGCCAGAGGCCTCCAAGACGGCCCAAGACCCCTCCAAGACGTCCTCCAGGAGGCCCGAAAGCTGCTCGCCCAACTCCCTGTTCCCCGAAGGCTTTCGAAGCCCACTCGGGGAACGCGTGGCCCGATAGCTTGGCCAAGCTCAAACCCAACTTTCGGCCATGCAGGCGCTTCCAAAAAGGCAGGGGGCGGCGGTGATTCGCCGTAGGCGTCTTCGATAGCGCGGGAAAGATCGAATACTACCTCAGGGCCCGCCTGAGCAAATGACTGGAAGACTGCTGCTCAGCACTTTGGCGCTGTAAATCAGCACAACCCTGGAGGGAGGAGCAATATTCGAGAAAAAAAGCAGGAGGAGAGAGGGAGGGAGAATACCGAATCATATAATTCTATAATTCTATCATCGCAGCTGATACTCGCTGGTAACAAGAACCAAGTGAAATGACGCCGCACAACTGCGCCCGGCCCCTCGTGGGTCGGATGGGCACGATGCAACACAAAAAAACTGAGCCGCTGCTTTCCCGAGACGTAAGACTCGTTCGGGGGGACTCAGGTTGGCCTGACGGGGCCAGCATGAAAACGACGCTACCCAATCTGAAATTTGACGCGAGCTCCCGCTGCAAACATGCCACGAAAACTGGACCGTCAAAATCCAGGACGCGCTCGTAAAAAAGCGTCGGCAAGCCCGAGTTCCAGCGCACACGAGTCTTACGTTTCCCCGACAGAACCCGATAGAAATCCGTGCGCCGCAAGGATGCTCTTCCACATTCGGCGCGCTTCACAGGAAGAACAGAGCAATGGAGCTCGTAAGTCCGACCGACAGAGCAAAGCACAAGAACGGGCGCGCAGCTCCAGAGCGATTGTTGCTGTCTTTGGTAGAGCTTATGGCGACGGCTCTTTCGCCTTGTAGGTCGTGGTCGAAAAGGTTATCCGAATGTGCCGACTCATCGGAGCTGCTCTCGGAATCTGTCGAACCTTCGGCACTAAAGAGACTGAGGTCTTCGCAATCCCAGACTGCCTCGTCCGTCTTGACCCAGCCGCCATCAATCCACATGGTGTTTGAGTCGCAAGTTTTGTTGCACGAGCTCCAGTATTCATTTTTCTTGTAGCACTTCGAGCCTGGCTCTGAGCAGCACTGGGTAATTGCGCAAGACGCCCCGTTTGGCGAGCACGGGCGGATAATCTCCTCGCAATCCCAAACTGTGTCGTTCGTCTTCACCCAGCCGTTCTCCATCCACATGGACTGAGGATCACAAGTTTGGTTGCAAGAGCTCCAACCGTCGTTTTTCTTGAAACACTTCGCGCCAGGCTCAGCGCAGCACTGGCTCAGTGCGCAAGACTCCCCATTCTGCGAGCACGCGGAGACGACAGAAGCATCGAGGCCGACCCCGGAGTCCGTCGGATCCCCGGCATCCGCGGCATCGGCCGGACCATTGAGAGAGACGACCCCGCAATCCCACACCGTCTCGTTCGTCTTGACCCAGGAGTCCTCCATCCACATATCCGCCTCCCTGCCCTCGAGTAGGAAGGCACCAACTATACACCAACACCGATCCTGGCCAGGATCACCCTGGGCCAGGATCGGTGTTGGTGTATAGTTGGTGCCCTCCGATCGAGGCACGGGTTGGAGCGTATTCGAGCCTCAGTCCTCAGTCCCAGGGATCCTCCACCAGGGGCCCCGGCCCCGAAGGCGCGTCGCGTGGCCCCCTCGGGGCTCCCGGCGTCTTCCCGCACGACCTGCTCGGGCCCGAGAGGACCTCAGGACGGACCTACAGAGGGCCCCAAGAGGCCCCCAAGACGGCCCAAAAGAGGGCCCCGAGTCGCCGAAGGGTCGCTCGAAGAAGCCCCGGGTGGCCTCAAGACGGTCCTAACTCCCCAGGACGCCCAAGGAGGCCTGCGAGAGGCCTCCCAGGAGGACCCCAAGAGGCAAACATCTTTGGCGTTTCTTTTTCAAAGATTCTGGCGTTATCGCCGCTCCGGCTTCCCAACGCTCCATGACGGCCTCGCCCCGAGACGGCCCTGGAGGCCTCTGAGAGGGCCCGAAAACGGCCCAAGAGGGCCCCAGAACAGCCCAAGAGGGCGCCCAAGACGGCCCCAGGAGCCCCCAAGACGGCTCCAAGAGGAGGCCCCGAGAGGGGACCCGAACGGACATTTTGAGCCCTCGGCCCCGAGAGGCCCCCAGGAGGCCCCAACAGGTCCCCAGGAGGCCGCCAAGATGCTCTAAGAGGCCCACAGAGGCCCCGAGGAAGCCCCCAGAGGCCCCCAAAAGGCTCCCAAGAGGCCCCCCCCAGGCTCCCAAGAGGCCCCAAAACTGCCCCCCAGAGGCTTCCGAGAGCGCTCCGAAGAGACCCCAAGAAGCATCCCTGAGGACTGTGAGCCACAACCCAAGCACGGTTGCGGGATGGGCCGAACTCTGTTAGACCTGGGCCGGCACGGCAAAGGAAAGAGCGCTGCAGGAACTTGCCCGAGATGGCTCATTGCACCTTTCGCTCTTGGGGGCCTTGGCGTTAAGAGCTTGTTGCGTCACCAATCTCTGTTGGGAGCCCTGGTGTTCGGAGACTTTTACGTTGCCGCTCGCTCTTGGGTGCCTTGCTGTTGAAGCACTTTTTACGTCACCGCGCTCTGGGGAGCCTTGGTGTTCAGAGCTTGTTACGTCACCGCTCTCTGTTGGGAGCCATGGTGTTACTTGGCGTTTCTGGGGCCTGGGCCGTCTTGGGACCCTCTTGGGCCGTTTGGGGGCCCTCTTGGGCCGTCTGGGGGCCCTCTTGGACCATTTTCAGGGGGCCTCTGGGGCCGTCTTGGGACGATCCTTGGGGCCTCTTGGGCCGTCTTGGGGCCCTTCTAGACCCGAAAAGGCGAGAGAACCAGAAAAACAATGAGAAACGGAAAGTCAATGCGTTTGACCTCCTGAGGCCCTCTCGGGGGGCCCTCTTGAGGGCCGTCTTGGGTCCAGCCCAGTCCAGCGCTCTTGGGCCGTCTTGGGGGGGAACCCGAAAAACATGCAAAAACCCAAAGGAAAACCCGAAAACGGCCATTCACATGCCAATGTTCCCCCGACGCCCCTCCCCTGGAACCCCTCCCTTTAGGGCTTCGCCCACACCAGAACGTCATCACTCGTACCTCGCTCGTTCCGTTACCTGGGCCGGCACGGGAGCGGCACGGGCGCTGCAGGCAATGGCCCGAGCTGGCTCCCGGCACCCTTCGGCTCTTGGGAGCCTTAGCGTTCAGAGCTTCCTGCGTCACCCATCTCTGTTGGGAGCCCTGGTGCTCAGCAGGGCTGAACCTAAACGGTGTTTTTCGCTTTCGTTTTGCTTTCATGCTCCTCCGTGTTGTCTTCAATCCACCTCTACCGCAAGGCGAAGTCGAACCGAGAACGGCCCACGAAATCGCCAAAACACCGTTTCGGTCCAGGACTGGTGCTCAGAGACTCTTGCGTTGCCGCTCGCTCTTGGGAGCCTTACTGCTCAGAGTTCTCTACATTTACCGCGCTCTGGGGAGCCCTGGTGTTCCGAGCCGTCACCGCTCGCTGTGGGGAACCGTGGTGCTCCTTGGCGTCCCTAGTGCTTCTTGGGATCCTTGAGGGGGCCTTTGTGGACCGTTTTGGGGCCCTTGGGCCGTCTTGGGGCCAGCCCAGCCCCCACACCCAGGCAGCCCAGTCCCCACACCGCCTCTTCGGGCCCTCGTGGGAGCATCTTGGGGCCATTTTGGTGCTCTCGCGCGGCCGTCTTGGTGCCCTCTGGGGCCGTCTTGGGGCCCTCGTCGGCCGTATGGGGGCCCTTTTGGACAGATTCCCTCCAAGATGGCCCCAAGAGCGCTCCCCAGGCTCCCAAGAGCGCTTCAAGAGGGCCCCAAGAGGCACCCAGGAGGCCCCAAGAGGCGCCCAATAGGCCTCGAAGAGGCTCCAAAGAGTCCCCCAAGGGGCCCCCAGAGGCTCCCCGAGGCACCCAAGACGCTCCAAGAGGCCTCCAGGACCGCCAAGAGGCCCCCAAGACGCTCCAAGAGGCCTCCACTGGGGGACCCTTCCTCTGTGTTCTGCCCACCTCCCTGATCGAGGAAACTCCTCTGGGCATCATTTCTGGATGGACTTGTCGGGCTGTTTTTTTTTCGCGGCCGCAGGCGAAGGCGCCGGCAGCGTCAGCAGAGTTGGCTCGGGCACGCGCGCCGAGCAAAGCAAGTCGTACCGCCGAGGGAAGCGGCCGCGCCGGGGCCGAGCTGCGCCGAGGGTGGGGACTGCCAGCTGCGGATGCTGCCAGGGTGCTGCAACGTGCGAGTACCATGGGAGCTGAATCACCAGGCACGTGAATTGGACCTTGTCGCCACCGGGCGCCAGAGGTCAGGGCAGCAGGCCGACAGGTGACACGCCAGGCCGCTCAGGAAGGCTGAACCACTCCTGAGTGAACCAGCGGGCCAGTACCCCATGGGGCCAGCTGACAACCAAAAACCAGGGAAGTGCAAGCACTCGTGCCGGAACTGGCTTGTCGGGCTACGCGAACCGTCTAGAATTTAACTTCTCGCGACTAACGGATCGCACGCTACGCGTGCTTTCCGTCATCGAGGTCCTCAGTGACCAACCCCCTCATACTCCACCGTCGTTATCTCTCCCGACTAACGGATTGCGACGTTTCGAGCGCTTTCTGTCATCCGCCGCCGGCGTGCTGAATTTCTGTGGTTTGGGTTGTTTTAGAACTGCCTCTGGTGCTTCGGCACAGCGCGCCAGCCGCCAGGAAGGCCGCACAATCCGCCGAAAAAATTGCCCAATCGCATCCAAGACGGCCAAGATAGCCCACGATGGCCTCCAAGTTCGCCCAAGATAGTCCAAGATGGCTTCCAAGACGGCCCAAGAGGATCCAAGATGCCTCCAAGTCCGCCGAAGAAACCGCCAAGACGGCCTAAGATGGGCCCAAGATGGTCCAAGACGGCCCAAGAGGCCCACAAGAAGCCTTCAAGACGGCCAAGGAGGCCCACAAGAGGCCTCCAAGACGGCCCAAGAGGCCCTCAAGAGGGCCTTCGGGAAGGCCCGAAGAGGCCAAATTTATAGATGTTCTAAATGTTGTGAAGGATTTTGACATTTGTTTCTGATCAGCCTTCTGACTGCCCAAGACGGCCCAAGAGTCCCCCAAGATCACCCCAAGATGGGCCTAGAGGCCTCCGAGATGGCCCCAGAACGGCCCAAGAGACCTCCAAGATGGCCCAAAGAGGGCCCCAAGACGGCCCAAGAGGCCTCCAAGATGGTTCAAAGAGGGCCCTAAGACGGCTCAAGAGGCCTCCAAGACGCCCAAGATGGCCTCCAAGACAGCCCTGGAGCACCCTAAGGGAACCTCAAGTCGGTTCAGAGAGGCCCCCAAGACGGCTTTCGACGGCGTCAAACGGGCCAGGACCGCCCCAAGACCGGCAAAGAGGCGCCCAAGACGGCCCTCAAAGGCCCCCGAACGGCACAAGAAGGCCCTCCAGATACCTCTAAGAGGCCCCCAGGAAGCTCCCAGGAGGCCCCAAGAGTGCCCCCAGAGGCTCCAAAAATGTCCCCTACTCCACCACCTCCTCCTCCTCCTCCTCCTTCTCCTCCTCCTCCTCCTCATCATCATCCTCCTCCCCCTCCTCCTCCTCCTCCTCCTCCTCCTCCTCCTCCTCCTCCTCCTCCTCCTCCTCCTCCTCTTGACCAGCCCATCCTCCCCCAAGTGTTCCCGGAAGGATTTCCACAACGGCTGGGGAAACACATGGCTCGGTAGCTTGGCAGAGCTCTGGCTATAACGTTCGGCCACATGGGCGATTCCAAAAGGCAGGGGGCGGCGTTGATTCGCCGTAGGCGTCTTCGATAGTACGGGTCACAAGTTTCATTGCACGCGAACCAATAATCATTTTTCTTGTAGCACTTCGCGCCAGGTGCGGAGCAGCACTGGGTAACTGCGCAGTTCTCACCATCCCCCGAGCACGGACGCACAAGCTCCTCACAATCCCAAACTGTCTCGTTGGTCTTCACCCAGGCATCCTCGATCCACCTGTAGTTTGGGTCACACGTTTGGTTGCAAGAGCTCCAACCGTCATCCTTCTTGTAGCACTTCGCGCCAGGTTCAGAGCAGCACTTCGACTCTGCGCAAGACGCTCCAGTTTGTGAGCACACGCCCGCCTGGTCTTCTGCATCAGAAGCAAGATTCGCGCCCCCTGACTCAGGCTTGGCCACCTGGTCCGCGGTGACCGCTGATACGGCACCGTCCCCACATAAGCCCGATTCGCCTGCTTCCACGGTCTTGGTGATCTTGATATTCATGAACTGTTCAATGTCAGAATCGATCCACCGGTCGATTTGCAGCTCCACGCTCCCGAACTTCACATGCAGCACGTTCATCTCCTTATCCTTGCGATCCGGCTGGAGCACATCCCCAGCGTGATCCAGCTTCGCTTCGAGGGTGTCCGTAGATGTGATCGCCGTCTGCCACACCGACATGTCCGTCTCGAGAATGCTCTCCGGCGAACCCTCCGGGGAGTACCATGTCGCCTCGCCCGTTGTGATTTCCAGAGTGTACCAGCCGAGCATGGGGCCGCCGATGCCGACCGCCTTCAGGACTGGAATTGGATTACCCTCGTTCAATATGTCAGACACGCCCTGTATGAAGAGAGTGTCACTGTGGACCAGCCAGAACGGTTTGCCCAGCGGGGAGGTGAACTTGATGTTGTCTCCCACGGCCTTACCGTACATCTGGACGTTCGAGTCCCCGTAGACGACGCACGATTCCACATCACCAGCAACAGCGGCCTTGACAGAGGCCCCGCGAGAGTCAACAGTCACAGCCCCCGTGGAGAACCCCGCGCGCCAAACAACAGCCAGCAGAGCCGCCACCGCCGCGGCCGCCGACAGCGCCGCCGCACCCGCCAAAGCGCGCGGCGCGCGCGGTGCCCGCGCTGGTGCGACCTCTCCTGGCTCGCAGTCGCTTCCGAGGGAGAGCTGGAGCGGCTGGGTCTGGCTCATGTCCGCGCGCATGGCGGGGAACCCCCTGCGGGCAGCGAGTGGGCGCCGGAAGAACTGCGGAGGAGGCGGAGCGGAGGGAGGAAGCGAGGCGAGGAGGACGACCAGGGTAAGCAGACATCCTGCTACTTGCCAGCAGATACGCCGAAGGAGGAGTGAATGTCATTCCCCCTGTCCCAAGGATGGGTCTCCTGTTCCCCCTAACCCAGGGAGGGGGCTCTTGTTATTCCCTGTGTCCAGAGGATGGAGTTTCTGTTATTCTCCATTTTCCGAGGGATGGGGTTCTTGTTCCCCATATCCAAAGGATGGGGTTCTTGTTGTTATTACGACCGTTCCGACCTCCTTTTTCTCCTCCACCTCACGTTGGCTACGGTATGTTATAACGCGTTGTGTTGTGTTATGTTTCGTTATGATACGTCATGACATGTCATGGTAATTATGTTATGTTATGATACGATATGATATGATATGGCATGGTATGTGTTATGCAATGGTTGGCTACAATGCGGTATGGTATGTTATGGTGTGTTATGGTACGATGTGTTATGGTATGATATGTCATGGTATGATTTGCTGCGACGATGCTGATGAGACTGATGCTGATGATGATGCTGATGATGATGATGATGATTATGATGATGATGCTGATGCTGATGCTGATGCTGATGGTGTTAGTGGTGATGATGATGATGATGGCGGAGAACAATTCTGAGGATGTCTCGACCGAGGCGCGGGCTTAAGCTCTCACGAGGGGGAGCCACCAGGGGGTATTGCACTCCTCCGTTCGCGCCAAAATGGCGGGGATGTCTGGAGCGGTTTGCCTGTTTCAAGACCCTACATCCTCTGCTTTCGGAGCTGATCTGGAGGATGTATCGAGCGAGGCGCGCACTTCAACACCCCCAAAGGGGGAGCCGCCAGGGGGTATTGTACTCCCCCGTTCGCGCCAAAATGGCGGGGATATCTCGAACGGTGTGCCTGTTTCAAAACCCAACATCCTCCGCTTTCGGAACGGATTTCAAGGATGTCTCGAGCGAGGCGCTCAGTTACGCCCCCAAGGGGGAGCCTTATTTTACTCACCAAACTGGGGGGCACGAATCCTCTTCGGGATGCCACCCAGGAGGCCCTAGAAAGTCCCAGGAGGTTCAGGAGACCGCAGGAGTCCCCAGGCTCATGCGCAGAGACGCGCTCGTACTACTGAGATTCACAGGCCAATTCATTCAGTTAGATTCGCTCCCTGACCGGCGATACCCAAGCCAGCGTAAAAACTCTCGCGCCTAGACGCTCACGACGGACAGGTCCATGCTAACAAATGCACGTATGGAGAGCTCCACGCAGCGAATATCCCAACAACCCTTTAGGGCGTAGGTGGTTTAGGGTGTTTCCTCTTCCACCCCCTTCTTCCCCTTCAGATTTATCACTGTTCCCTATTAATATACACCCCCTCCCCCAGGCGACTGGGAGCCAACCAGGGGCAATGCGGCCCCCCCCACCATCCCTTGTAAAAAAACAATACTAACCACACTTTGCCTCCAAATTCGGAGCATGCGCAGCGAACCCGATGCGGCCTTCCCCCACCATCCCTGTCAAAGACAATACAGAGTACACTTGGCGGCGGCGGCTGTTACGGCGGCTGCGGCGGGGGCAGCGACTGCGGCGGCTGCGGCGGTGGCGGCGGCGGTGGCGGCGGCGGCGGCGGGGGCGGCGGCGGCGGTGGCGGCGGCGGTGGCGGCCGTGGCGGCGGCGGCGGCGGCGGTGGGCTGCGGCGGCAGCGGCAGCGGCTGCGGCGGCGGCGGCGGCGGCGACGGCGGCGGGCGGCGCGGCAGCGGCGGCGGCGGCGGACGGCGGCGGCAGCGGCGGCGGCGGCGGCGGCGGCGGCGGCGACGCGCGGCGGCGGGCGCGCGGCAGCGGCGGCGGCGGCGGCGGACAGCGGCGGCGACGGTGGCGGCGGCGGCGCGGCGGCGGCGGCGCCGGGCGGCGGCGGCGCCGGGCGGCGGCGGCAGCGGCGGAGGCGGCGACGGCGGCGGCGGATTCGCCCCCAGTAGTTGCCCATCCGAAAAGGACTGGTGAATATGCTGCGGCTCGGGCCAGGCTCGGGTGCTACGTGTGTGGGAGGGCGGGTGGGAGTGAGCGAGACGGCTTGCGGGCGGGGAGGGAGTCTTGAACCCTCCCCTTACCCCCTCCCCTGGACCTGGACGGGGCGTTCCGCGAGCGGTCGGGGCGTCCAAAATGGCCTCGGCGAGAAGTCAACATCATTGATTTTACAAGGGGGGCAGCGCTAATTGAGACCACCCCTTCTTTGATCGATCTCCTCCGAGATGGCCCCACGAGCGCTCCCAAGGCTCCCAAGGGTGCCCCAAGAGGGCCCCAACAGGTGGCCAGAAGGCCCCAAGAGGCCCCCAAGAGGCCCCCAGGATGCCCCCAAGAGGCTCCCAAGAGACCCCCAAGAGGCCCCAAGGGGCCCCAAGAGGCACCAAAGACGCCCAGAATCCACGGCTTCAAAATCCGGAGTCACCTGGAACGGGTCCGGGGTGATTCTGAGAGCTTGACACTCACCGTTCCCAGTTTCGGAATCACCCTGGAAACGTTTTGGGGTGAAAACCCTGTAGGAGCCGTTCTGAGCTCCTTACGCAAGGCCTTACTGAGCTCCTTACAGAAGGCCTTGTTGAGCTCCTTACAGAAGGCCTGATTGAGTTCCTTACAGAAGGCCTTACTAAGCTCCTTTCAGAAGACCTCATATTGAGCTAGAAGGCCTTATTGAGCTGCTTACAGAAGGCCTTATTGAGCTGCTTACAGAAAGCCTTATCGGGCTCCTTACAGAAGGCCTTGCTGAGCTCTTTACAGAGGGCCTTTTTGAGATCCTAATAAAGGCCTTATTGAGCTCCTTACAGAAGGCCTTAGACCCCGCCCCCACAGCACGGCGCTAGCGAAAGCGCGGCCTGCTGCAAGGCCGAGGGACGTGCCAGCCGCGAAGCGGTCAGAAGCGGGCCCTCAGGAGACGATGATGGTGATGCCTGCGCGGCACTCCTTTTGCTGCTGCGCTGGCCGCACGCCCCCGCCGGCGCTCTCGGCGCCAGGCGACCCCTCCTTCCGCCACGCGAAGCGGGCCTCGCCGCGGTGCCTTTAGACACCGAGGCAAAGCCCAGGGCGGGCGGGCAAAAGAGGGCACGTTGGGGCCCTGGGAGGGCTGCGAGCCCCGAAGGCTTGAGCGGGAGAGGGGGAGAGAGAGGAGCAAGCAGAGGCAAGGGCACGGCGAAAGAGGAAACCCAAGCCGACTGGGGAGGGCGGGGCCCAACCGTTCAGGACAAACAACTAAGACCCCGCCCCCACAGTACGGCGCTAGCGAAAGCGCGGCCTGCTGCAAGGCCGCGGGACGTGCCAGCCGCGAAGCGGTCAGAAGCGGGCCCTCAGGAGACGATGATGACGATGCCTGCGCGGCACTCCTTTTGCTGCTGCGCTGGCCGCACGCTCCCGCCGGCGCTCTCGGCGCCAGGCGGGCCCCTCCCTCCGCCACGCGAAGCGGGCCTCGCCGCCTTTGTTCTAGCGGTGCTGGCGTGCGCTGCCAGTGACGCTGCACGCTGGTCTGGCGGGCCTTGCACGTCAGCATTGCTGCGCGGGCGCCGTGGTCGGCGCCATCAAAATTGGGCGCCAGGCTCTGTGCAGCCCGCACCATCTAGCCTCTGGGTTGCGCACAGCCGGGCGCAGGCGCCGGCGCGCGCATGGGGCCCAACTGGCCCTCCTGCTGGCCGCTCGCCGCCATGCAGCTGATGCCGGCGTGCACGGCTGTCCTCCGTGAGGTTAGGCCGGGGCTCACGCTGGCGCACTGATTGCCGGCGGAGCCCGACCTCGGGCCATGGCCCGAACTCGCCGCGGGTGGCGCCTGGCTGACGCCGGCGCAACGGCGCCCGCCGTGCGCGCTGCGGCCTCGCAGTTCCCCCGGCCCCCCGCCCCCCCTAGGTGTTCGGGGCGGGCAGGGCCCGGCCCCTGACAGCGGGGGTTCCCTGGGCCAGCGCTGGTGGGCGGGCCCGTACCCCGCGCTTGAATTCTGGTGCCGCGGTCTACGCTGGGCTGTCAGGCCGTCAGCTGCCGCGACTTGTGCCGGCTGCAGTGCGCCTAGCACGACCAGGCTCGACGAGGGGAGCCGGCGCGCCAGGCGGGCCCAGCATGGCCCCAGTTCGGCAATTGCAGAGGGCGCCCACAGTATCCCAAGCACTAGTGGAGCCCGAAGCGGGCAAGCCCGCGCGCGCCTGACAGCGCGAGAGCATTGCCCAGTGCTGGAAGCACGGGCGGGGGATGTCCTGCGGACGCGCGGCTGGTGTGCCGGCGGCGCGGGCGTTGAGTTGCAGCCTCCAAGCACGCGCGGCGGTTGGGCCGGCGGCTTGGGCTGGGCGCACGCCAGGTGCACCTGCACCGGCGGCGCCCGCCGCAGCCCCTCGTCATGGGCTCTCACGCCTGGCGCCCTCGGCGCCGGCGGCGGCCCTGGCGGGGGTGCTGTCCTAAGCCGGGTCGGTCAGCGAGGAGGTGTCCCTGGCCATCTTGCTGGAGACGCCCTTCATCGGCTCGTGCGACTCCCACAGGTAGCCGTGGAACGCGTCTGACTGCCAGCACCCGAACCGGCGCACCCGGGAGAGGTCTTCGGTCACGTGGTACATCGCGGTCGCTCCGCCGATCCTCAAGGAGCGGCTGCCGATCTCCTCCCTGGAGAGCCCGGCGGCCAGCCCCGCGACCGTCAGGAAGTGCTGCCCCTCGGCCCTGCGAATTGGGGTACCTGACGCCCAGCGGAAAATGGGCAGCCGTTCTTCGGTGCCCTTTATCCGCTGGGGATGGTGAGCCTGGAGCCGCTCCATCGCCGCGATCGGGCAGAGCGTCGTGCCGGCGCGGTAGTGGTTCCTCACCGTCCCGACGTTGAGCTGGTCCGTCTTGCTGCCCTTGATGTAGATCACCATCTCGTCGGCGTCCTGGAAGCTGGGCACGCGTTTGCCAGCCTTTCTGGGCTCTACGCCCTCCCCGTGCAGCAC